GTCAGGGTCTGCCACAGAATAGAGAGATGCATATATGTCAGCTAAGAACCCAGAGTGGGAATTAAATTTTATTTGCAAATTTTACATTTATTCACCTCTCCACCTTCAGTCTTGACAGTGACCTTCCCTGCATCCTTACTCTCGATTTTCCCTTTCACATAGGACTCCTTTGCATGAACCACAAAGACACAGGTCTTGGCATCAAAAGGTTTGTTCTGGGCCTCAATTCTCTCCTTCTCTGACTTTCGAAGGTAAGGAGCCGCCTCGCCAAAGGCGGCCATGTCAGCGTCTGGAGTTGACATTGTTGCACTTCTTCAGGAGCCACAGTCAGCAGGGTCCTCTGTAGACTACAAGAGATGTTGTGTCAGTGAATGAACATCTTTATGTGAAAGAAAGGAGATCTCTTGCACTTTGATCTTTTCAAATATTAAAGTAGGTATAAACAAGTTAGAAGTTGGATTTAAACTTCCCTGTCTTGGCAGAAAATACTTATGTAGCTCTCTAAAAATATTCCTTAGACATCCAGCTAAGAAATTATGTACAGAACAGCAGTTAAGTGTACAGTATGTTGTGAAGTAGCAGTATTATTTCAACTTTGTGAACTCTACCAAATTTGGCTGTTCCCATATCAGAGTCTCTGATATTTTTTTTAATGCTACTGAAAGTCTGTGAAATAGATCTTTTACTGATACCAAATAGTAGCTTTCTAAAATTACTTGCTATGGATAATTCATCTTGCATTTTGACAAATATAACTGTTACTGTTGCCTGTTCTCTCTTCCACAAACCTTAAACTCTTGGATTTCATCCTGTTCCTTAAAAGTTGTTAAATTTTGGTATTGATTTTGGTGGCAGAGGTCACTGCTGCTTGAAAACATTAAAACTCATTTTGTGTTGCACAGATATCCAGATCTAATATGTAAGTTGAAGGAAAGCATGCTGCTTTCAAACCTACAATAAAGTTATTGCTCATAGAGTAGTCCATGACAGAAGTGGATATCCAAGTCTTATAGGAAGTTAAATGGAATAAAAAGGTATATGTTTTTTCCAGCAGTTCACAGGAGCCAAACACTTACCTTGAAATTTTCTGTCAAGACTGGGCACAGCACTCCAAAGAGACTTTTATAGACTCTGGTATGCAGATGCTTTGGATACTTCCTTTTCCTTCTGTCAAAATATATTTTGACAAACCATCTTTGGCAAAATATTGTCTGGCAAATTTAACTAATGGCATAATTGTCATTTGATCTGATATATTTAGAAATGTTTTGCATCTTACCATTCCCAGGGATATGTTTCCTATAAATAGTCTGACAGGGCTATTAATATTGGAATCTGGACTGGTCAAGGCACTTAAAGAACTTGGGTGTATGATTTATTGGTTCTTCTGTGGTCTTTACAGGTAACTTAATCTTTGATCTAGATGGGATTCTTTGGCATTTCTGTACTTTTACAGATGGGAAAGGGAAATAATGTAATGTATCTTGCTCATGTGGTCGTGTGAACTTAGAGCTTGCCTTTACATCATTAGAAAAGGCAGTTCTACAAAGACAAATTATTATTAAAACTATTTCAGTGATTCATTATATATTATAATAAAAAGGGGAAAACCAGATGCATTGTGGGCTAGGAATATCAGATAGAGAAGAAACTAAAAGGCAGCAAGGTCAAGTAGGGTTTCAAGTTTGCACATGCAGTTTGTGCCTTCAGTGTGAAATGTGACTCCTTAGCTATAAAAGCAATTGAATATGTATGTGAATAAATCCTCACTTGGTATTTTGCAGAAATCAAAAAATTCCAAATGTGCATACTAGAGAAATGTTCACTATTGCAATAGTCAGTCATAAGTGATATAACAGAAAATTCTTCATAGTTTCAAACAAACAAATTATTCATAATATCTCACATTTGAAAAAAAAAAAGAAAATTATACTGTTTTTTGCAAATAATTTCAGATTGTGAAAAAGTTGATGCTTCTGTTACAGAGCTTATACAGAAGAAATGTATAACATTTTAGAACAAGTGATTCTATTAATAGGCAAATTATTTATATAAAAATTATTTATGTTTCTCAAAATTTATTAATTTTTTTCTAAGGGTTAAGAGAGCCTAAGAGGCAAAAGTAACCTAGACCAGGAAATACTTTCAACCCCCAGTAGACATACAGTCAGTAAATATACAGTGATACTTCCTGTTTCGTCTTACACAAACATGAAGCGTTAACGTGTCTTAAAGAGCTCAAGCCCATGTTGCTAATATTTGTGTGCTTTTTGTCAATGTACACCAAGCAATGCTCTCAACCAAGTCAGGCCGTCATTACCTACAACTCCAAAAAAAATCTGAATCCTTCTGCCGAAACACAACTCTACCCAAATTCACACACACAGCATTGGTCTAGGATCCTCTGCACCCTGATACATCCTCAGCCTAGCACTCCCAAATCACAAATATCTTGCACTCTTACATATTCATACAGCTCCAGCAACAAGAGCTCTCAGCACGTTGCTGCCTGTTTTGGAGTAGTATTGCTTTAGGCAATACTCTGAGAAAAGGAGAACTTGCCAGTAGTTCTGGAGAATTAGTGGTCAAGTTCTAGGAAAAAGGGCACTGTCACTTGAGCTGCTTTAAACAGTGTCAGTTCTGAACGTGCTTTTCTCCTGGGCATTGGCATTTGATTATTAAAAGAGCCCAGTGGGTAAAGAGGATTATTAAAGAGATTATTAAAAGAGCCCAGTGAAGAGCAGAGGGACAAGATGAGTAAATGTGATCCAAGGAGATACCCAACATCAATCACTGGCCTAGGCATGAAAAGCTTGTTCCAGGGATAAGCATGCAACTTTCTGGAGTTCAAAGCCAGAGTTCAGCCCTGGGCTCCCTGTGCAGGGCAGGGGGAAGCTGGTGGAAACACCCTCTGTCCTGAACAGGAGGAGCTCAGAAACAACCTGTGTAAAACAGTGAGCGCAGGGGGGCATCAGAAGTCCTGTGTCTGTGCAATCTCTGATTTCCAAAGACATACAGAACTTAGAGGACAAATCACAGAATGGTTTGGGTTGGAAGGAACCTTAAAAGAATCATCTAGTGTAAAACCACTGCTGTGGGCAGGAATATCTTTGACTAGATCAGGTTGCTCAAAGCCCCATTCAACCTGAGCTCGCACTCTTCCAATGATGGGACATTCTCATATTATGGGACCAATTTGTTCCTGTGTCTCACTGGCCTCTTTTTTAAAAATGTCACTTTTATATCCAACTAAAATAAACCCTTTCTAATTTAAAACTTTTCCCCTTGTCCTATGGCCACAGGCCTAGGTAAATAGTCTTTCCCCCTCTTATGAGCTGTCTTTACATATTGAAAACCTGCAATATGGTCTTCTCAGAGCCTTCTCATCTCTGTGCTGAGCAGGCATACTAAGTAAGCCTTTCTGCATGGCAGAGGCATTCGAGGATTTGGATCATTTTTTGTGGCTCTCCTCTGCATCTCCTCCACCTGATCAATTTTCTTCTTTTGTTGGGGATCCCGGAGCTGAGTATAGCAGTACAGATTGGGTCTCATGACAACTCTTTACCTGGATGACATTCCTTCCCACTGGTGTATCAACTGAACAATCCAGCTTGATGTTGTCTGTTTTATCAGTAGATTGAACAACACAGGCCACGGCACACATAAATCTTCTCTTTCATTCTGTCTCTATCTGAGTAAGAGGCTTTTATAGTACTGATGAAGCCACAGGATAAGAAGGAAGCCTTGCTGAAAGGTTTTGAAGATACCCGTCAATTATATCCTCTGTATCTCTCTGTCCACATGCTCATCTATCCTCTCAAAGTTTTGTGTGTTTTTTCATCTATAAGGCTGACTGGAATTTAACAGAGTACTCCTTTTGGAAGGACATAGACCACCTGTCCTCGGTTTCCCCACCAGTTTTTTCCCTGGAGGTGTTACACATGCGTGGTCCAGTGGTCACTGGCAATTCAGAATCTGTAGCATGCTCTGCCCTAGGAGGCAGGGCCTGGGACTGCATATGGTAACTTTCTCTCCCTGCACTCAAGTCTTCATTGTCAGTTTATACGGATCTCTGCTCAGGCTCAGAATCTGCCCTTTAATTGCCTTCTTCATTGTTGCTTATTTGCACATTGAATGGAAAATCATTAGTCTAGACAGGAAACGATGGCTACTAAAGAACTGTTTTCCTTTCACTGCTGGACTACTACCAGCTGTCTCTACCCTTCTCACTGTCTACTCTGACCTCTCTTGCCATAGGCTAGTGAGTGAGAGAAGCTCCTGCTGGGGGTTTTGAGTTTCTAGAACACCAGTAAGGAAAACACCACATCAAACAGCTGGTCTTTCTCTTCAGGAAAGAAAAATTCCCCAAGACAGGGCAGTGTGTCAGAAAGTAATGTGGCCAAAACTCAGCTTTTGTAGACACTGATCTAATTTCTAGAAACTAAAGGAATTCTCACAGAACTGTCATCAACCTTCTCCAGTTTTAATTCAAGGGGATGTAATACTCTTCATGGTCTTCTAATTAAATTCAAGAAGAAAAAAAATAGTGGAGGCTAAAGACTACCTTCTGTCAGCTTCACAAAAAAACCCATGAACTCTTTGGGTTATTAGCATTCTATAAATCACTCTCAGAGGCCAGGGAAAGGAGCATCTCACACCTGACAATTGCAAGCTGGAAAGTGCTGAGGTGCCATAAGGGTGAATATAATATATTGTCTGGGGTACACTAGTAGGAAGAACGTGCATAAGTCACAATCAAGAATTATTGTCCTTCATTTCTCTTCATGTGATATTATTTTTCTATCCACACCTCAGTCACTAAGGAAAAAAGCAGGGATAAGTTGTCAGGAACTAGATGAAAAAAAGCTGCATTGTGACAGAGAGATTATAAAAAAAAAACAAAACTGCAAAACTGTACCAAGAATGGTAATAACGGCCTAAACAATTAAACCAGAAAGAAATGAAAAGTACTGCTCATGGTATGCACACAAAGGAATCTATGGGGTTTATTCTCTAGACATTAAAATGGTTCAAAACAAAAATTGAAGAAAGAAGGAAGTGACAGAGAGGTTCACATTTTGTGCAGCCCCTCAGGTCACTTTGTTGCCTTTTGACATTCTCACTCTTCCTCTTCTATCTTCTTGCCATGAATGTCCCTGCTCTTGGCTCGAAGCTTGTTGACCTGTGACTCTGCAATGTCAGCCCGCTCCTCGGCTTCCTCCAGCTCGTGCTGGATCTTGCGGAACTTGGACAGGTTGACATTGGACAGCTCCTCCTGTGAGGGGAAAGGGAGTCAGGGGTCAGCACAGGACAGGGGTTTCACTTCTGCTGCAAGTCAGCCCAATGGGGCTGCACATCTCCATCCCCCTTCCACCACTGCTCAAACATCAGCCTCACACAGATCTCCTCATCCTTCCCTTTTCAGGAACCTACTGTGACAACATCCACCAGGACTGTGTCACATGTGAGGAGGAATTTCACCCTTTGGATTTATCATTTCTGTACCTAATCTCACAATACTTCCTGCCCAATTTTCAGTGTGACTTATTGGGTTGACAAGACCCTGAAGCATTCTGCTGCTGATTATTAGCAGAGATTCAGAATCTTGTCAGGCAGTGGGTGTGGCCCCTGGGCTTGTTTATTCTGGCCTCCTGTGGGAAACAGGCTGCAGAACTTGCCTTAAAGAACCTCCCTGACTACAGGGTGCCCAGAGCTCACCAGGGCCTCATGACACAAGAGCAAAACAGCGTGGCCAACTCGGTTGTGTCTCAGGAGTTTCTTTCATACCCCTCTCCTGGTATTCGGTCTCATTCAATGTGTGTGCTGCCCCAATGGAATGTGGCCTTTGCCCATTGTCCAAGCAATACTTACAGCCTCCTCAGCTTGTCTCTTGTAGGATTTCACTTTCATTTGCAGCTTGTCCACCAAATCCTGCAGTCTGAGGACATTCTTCCTGTCTTCCTCAGACTAGAGTAGTTGGTAAACAGGATAGAGAGTAAATTCTTAATCCTCCATCACACAAGGACAACAATTCCCCTTGGGGATGGTGTGTGCAAAATGTGACTCACTGTGAGCAAGCCCTGTCAGAGCAGGAGCCCTCCTGCCTTACCTGGTAGGTCAGTTCCTTCACCCTGCGCTCGTACTTGCGCACGCCCTTCACGGCTTCAGCGCTGCGCTTCTGCTCAGCATCAACCTCCCCTTCCAGCTCCCGCACCTGCAAGGACAAGCCCATCCCTGCAGCTTCCCTGGCAATGTCTCTCCAAGGACACGCTCACTCACACACACACCCAGCCCTACACACCCTGGCCTCCAGCTTCTGGATCTGCTTCTTCCCTCCCTTCAGTGCCAGCTGCTCGGCCTCTTCCAGCCGGTGCTGCAGGTCCTTCACTGTCTGGTCCAGGTTCTTCTTCATCCTCTCCAGGTGGGCACTGGTGTCCTGCTCCTTCTTCAGCTCTTCTGCCATCATGGCCGCCTGATCAGAGCAAAGGGTCAAAGCCATTTTAGGGCTGGAGATATTTTGGGCAGAGTACATTCACCACCAGCAATGCCAGGAGCACCCAACTCACATCTGTGATGGCCTTCTTGGCCTTCTCCTCAGCATTGCGGGCTTCCTGGATGGTATCCTCCATTTCACTCTGGATCTGGGCAATGTCTGTTTCCAGCTTCTTCTTGGTGTTGATCAAGCTGGTGTTCTGTGTAACAGGAAAGACAGGATTCCTACTTTCAAACCAAATGCCTGAATAAAGGTCTGAAAATGTGGGTAGAGTTTAGCAAAGTCTTTAGTGCAAGAGACTTCTTTAGCACCAGAGCAATAAGCCAGATATTGAGGGCTGGCTGGAGGGAACATATTGCAGCACACTTCTTCAAATGTTTACCCAGTAATCACTTACAAGATGAATAACTATTTAATTCTATGGTATCACTTATGAATGGGAATAATTTCCAGTAGTGCCTGACCTGGGTGTGGAGGAGCTGTGCACGTTCAGTGGCATCCAGAAGCTCCTGCTCAGCCAGTTTCCTCGACCGCTCTGTCTGCTCCAGGGCTGCCCGGAGCTCCTCAACTTCAGCCTGCAGCAAGTTTGCTCTGCGTTCCACCATGGCCACCTGCTCCTTCAGGTCATCCTGTGTCCTGAGAGCATCGTCCAAGTGCAGCTGAGTGTCCTGGAAAGAGAGACAAGAGAAATTGCCAGGTGTCAGTTCTGTGGCAAAATGTCTGGGAACTCATTTGTCTTTCTGTAGCTCTGCTGAACGGACCTTGAGCACAGCCTGTGTATTTCTCAGGTTCTTCTGTGCCTCTGCAGCCTGGCGGTTGGCATGGCTCAGCTGGATCTCCATTTCATTCAGGTCTCCCTCCATCTTCTTCTTCAGCCTCAGGGCTTCATTCCTGCTCCTGATCTCAGCATCCAGAGTGCTCTGCATGGACTCCACAATTCTGAGGTGGTTTCTCTTCAGTTGGTCAATCTCCTCATCCTTCTCTGCTATCTTCCTGTCGATCTCAGACTTCACTTGGTTGAGTTCAAGCTGCAGACGCAGGATCTTCCCCTCTTCATGTTCCAGGGAGGCCTGGACAATTCAGCATGGAGATTGTCACATGAAAGGTAGCCTTCTTTTCATGCTATCTCTCCAAAGAACTACATCCATACTCTACGTAAAGATACCATTGTTTGGCATTCTATGTACCTCAGCTTCCTCCAGGGAGGCTTGCAGTTCAGATTTCTCCTGCTCAATCTGCTTCTTGATTTTCTCCAGCTCATGAATTGCCTTTCCTCCCTCAGCAATCTGCTCCGTGAGGTCAGAAATCTCCTCTGTAGGAACAAAGATCAATAGCATGGTCAGGCACAGAGCTAAATGGGAAGGGACCTGTCCCACCAAGGTGACAGGCATCTCTGCAGAGCTGCAGGCACAGACCCATGAACAATGTTGGCAATGGCTGATAGTGAGAAAGGGCAGTGAGGAGCAGAGGTGCAGGGACTTACGCTGCAAGTTCTTGTTCTCCCGCTTCATTGTCTCCAGGTGGTCCAAGGACTCCTCATAGGCATTCTTCATCTTGAACAGCTCCGTGCTGAGAGAGCGCGACTCCTTCTGGGAGGCCTCCAGCTCAGCCTGCGTTTCCTCATACTTCTGCTTCCATTCTGCCAGGATCTGCAGAGAAACGGGCTGTGAGTAGGGCTGTGGCCATCACAGGGGCGTGCTCTGGCCACGAGTGCTGGTGCTGGAGGCCAAATGACCTTGTCAAAGTTCTTCTGCTTCTTATCCAGAGCAGCACAGGCAGCATTGGATCTCTCCACATCAATCATCAGGTCCTCCACTTCATTCTGCAGCCTCTGCTTTGTCTTTTCCAGGGAGGCACATTTGGCATTGACAGCCTCAACATGTTCCTCTGCATCCTGCAAACGTTGAGCCAGCTTCTTCCTGGGAGGAGAGAAGTGGAGAGTCACGTTAGAGCTTGGAAGGGCATCAGTTCTCTACTGTCATGAGAGGGCAATTTGTCATTATGGGGGTTTTGAGGCAAGCACTTTTCACAGACAACAAAGGATCTATCAGCTGTGGAGGATTAAGCTCGTCATAGCACTTCTAAAGGCTGTCTTCTAATCTATACTTTTTCGCTCCGTTCTGCTCTCCCCTATTTTTATAAGGACAGTGTATTGTTGCCTCTATCCCATTCTCCCATTCTTGTCTTAACCCACTCTCTTAGAGATTAGGGGCTCCAATTTCCCTTGACCAGTTTCAGTCTTCTCCTATCATTGGCCATTCTGCATCCCACGTACTTGGCCTCCTCGAGCTCCTCCGTGCGCTGAATCGCGTCTGTCTCGTATTTGGTTCTCCACTGGGCCACTTCACTGTTGGCCTTGGACATGGCTCTCTGCAGCTCTGCCTTGGCCTCCTGCTCCTCCTCATATTGTTCCCGGAGCAAGTCACAGTCGTGGCGAGCAGACTGCAGGGCGTGGGCCAGGGCATTCTTGGCCTGTGGGGACATTGTGTTTGGTAACCTGAATACTTATCTTGAAATGCCTCTTGACTGTGAACTTGACAGTGGCATTGGAATGAAACTCCAGTTGGGAATAGGTGGAGCTTGGAGCTGGTGAAGCCCTCATTGACACATTTTGGAGCATCAGGACGCATTAGGGACAGCTCCTCTGGGGACAGTAATCTGCTGTTTGCGTAATTATGTGGCTGAATCGTGTCTTAGAGAGGATCATCAGAATCTTGTGGAAGCTTTGTGGATGACTTCCTCCAGGACCTAAAGTTTCCTGCTTCCTTCCTTCTCTGGTTGAAGAGTGGGGGGTTGTGCATTAGTGCCATTCCCTGCAGTCGTATGTGTGTGTAGGGAAGGAACACTGGAGCAGTCTAGTGTTAGATAGGGTTCTGCAGGTGCTTTTGGGGGTCACGTAGGCTGTGGACACTAGGGTACTTCCAGACCTTGATTTCTTCCTCTAGATGTCTCTTGAGTTCCTCAATCTGTTGGGTAAATCCTTGCTTGCCCCTAGACAGCTGAGAAATCAGAGCATCTTTCTCCTCCACCTGGCGGGAATATTCACCTGGGAAGGGAAAGAGGGGAAAAGGAAGCAGACTGTTCGTCCTATGATACCTTCTGGCTGTAAAGCCACATAACCAGGAATGGCCTGGACAGCTTAGACCAGCTGCCACCTTGCACCCTCTTTGGCTTGCTCAGGGCAACTTTGAACTTTGGGAATGAGGATGTCTCACCAGACTCTGTCTGCAGACGAGCTCTTTGCGTATTGAGGTCGTTGATCATGCGTTGATTCTGCTCGTCCTTTGTTTTAAGCTCACTCAGCTGATCTTCCAGTGTGCGGCACATCTTCTCCAGGTTGGCCTAGAGGTGAAACACGGGAAGGGAGAAGAGA